TTCGATTCTCTCAACGTTGTCGTTTTGTACATTAGTTGCAGTGAACGAAGTGTAGCGTCTTGTTTGTCAACCATTGTTTGTCTCATTTTTTTTTTCCCATTTATTATTATTTTATATTTCTTGTATTGCAAAATACGTCGAGTTATAATGGCTTCCTTTGCGGATTTTGTTGAGCTAGGCAGATCTATGAGTTTAGAGGGGCCAGAGTTGGTCAAATTTGCCGAAGCCAGATTTAAAGAAATCACAGATAGCGTTAGAGAAGAAAGAGCGTTAGAAAGACAGCAGAAAAAAATTGACTCTGAGTTGAAGATACAGCTTCTTAATGCAGAAAAAGAAAAAGCATGTTAGAGCTCTACTGGGTCTATGTAACTTCTACGCTAAATTTATTCCCCATTATTCCTCTATAACATCTGTGTTTTCTGAGTTGACAAGAAAGACGATGCCTCGAGAGGTGTTTTGGGATGAATCCTGCGCACAAGCACTCAGCCAGATACAAAGAACATTTAACAATAAACCATTTCTGAGATTGCCTAATCTATCACTTGATTTTTATGTTTCCTCAGATGCTTCAAATGTCGCACTGGGAGCAGTAATTTCCCAAATGTACGATGGGACTTTACATCCTTGCCTCTATGCAAGTCGCAAATTGTCCGACACTGAAACACGCTATAGTGTCGGAGAGAGAGAAGCACTGGGAATTTACTGGTCCATCGCTAAATTCTCCAGGTACCTAATAGGGAGAACGTTTTATGTAATTACAGACCACAAGTCACTTGCTGTTTTGAACACAGGGTCTGTAACAAATGCCCGTATTCTTCGTTGGACATTGTTTCTTCAGACTTTTAACTATACCATCATCTACCGGAGTGGTAAGGAGAACGTACTTGCTGACTATTTGTCCAGATTTCCTTGTACATCATGAGACAATCAGTTCCTTTTCACATTGGAATTTTTATACCTCACTACACTACAATGGATGCTTATATATTGTTATCAACATACTTTATCCAGATATGTATATTTCAAGGACATACCTATGAGAAGTGTTTAGTTAGTTAATTTCTCAAGTGTTTTGGACAGATGATTCCATTTATTGGGATTGACAGTAATTATGATTAAGGATTTAGCTTATGGGTTATTAGTGAACCAGTTATGATATTATATTGTATTTCTTGTTGTTATTTCATGTCTTATAACAAAAGTTATCATCATTTTATTTACATGCATTCTTTTTATAGCAAAAGTTATCATCATTTCGTTTACATGCATTCTCACTTAACTGTATGTTGATTTCACTAGGTATATTCGAATATAAGTTGTCTAGATGACTACAACAGAGTTAAAATTGTGCAACTGAAAACTTAGATTTTCAGTTTGTGAGAGGAGGGGATAAGCTGTTGTAATCTTATTGTCCAAAGAGTTAAAGTTTCTTCTAGTTTCTTCTAGTGGTCACAGCGCAGGTGAAAGGTTCACACAGCGGCCACCGGTCGGGTCTGTTACCTGGGATACCAGCTAATTGAATGCTGGGCGATTAACACAAAGGCTCCTGCAGAACACAAAGGATTCCGCAGTCAAGATATTTCCCTTGTTCGAAGCAGACGTTCCTTCTTTGTGAAGTTTGATTAACCGTACTTACACGGGAGACAGTTTAATGTCTATTTATTTATTATAATGGCAGGAGTCCATTGAGAAAAGAGTGTAATCTTTTATATCATCAGAATAGATAATGGAGATTTATTATCGTACATGTTTTATTGAATAATCATCATCATCTTGTAACGTGTAACTTTAATGCCATTAAAGTTTATGTGGCCTGTCACAAGCGTTATTGTTGACTTGTAAAGATAGCAACTGTGTTAGATGATGCTGGGCCAAATGGGCCAGTTATAGTATGCAGGACTACACTGTAGCACATCCATCAAGGAGATATCCAGCGGAATACTAGAATAGGCACCCTAGGCCTAAATACTTGGTTGAATATAAAGTATACAAAAGAATGTACAAATTAAGTGTACAACAGCCATTACTACACTTACCACAAACTGTTCATGACTTTAAGCCATTACTACACTTACCACAAACTGTTCATGACTTTAAGCCATTACTACACTTACCACTAACTGTCCATGACTTTAAGCCATTACTACACTTACCACTAATTGTTCATGACTTTAAGCCGTTACTACACTTACCACTAATTGTTCATGACTTTAAGCCATTACTACACTTACCACTAATTGTTCATGACTTTAAGCCATTGCTACACTTACCACTAATTGTTCATGACTTTAAGCCATTACTACACTTACCACTAATTGTTCATGACTTTAAGCCATTACTACACTTACCACTAACTGTTCATGACTTTAAGCCATTACTACACTTACCACTAACTGTTCATGACTTTAAGCCATTACTACACTTACCACTAACTGTTCATGACTTTAAGCCATTGCTACACTTACCACTAATTGTTCACGACTTTAAGCCATTACTACACTTACCACTAACTGTTCACGACTTTAAGCCATTACTACAGTTACCAATAACTGTTTATGACTTTAAGCCATTACTACAGTTACCACTAACTGTTTATGACTTTAAGCCATTACTACAGTTACCACTAACTGTTTATGACTTCAAGCCATTACTACAGTTACCACTAACTGCTTATGACTTTAAGCCATTACTACAGTTACCACTAACTGTTCATGACTTTAAGCCATTACTACAGTTACCACTAACTGTTCATGACTTTAAGCCATTACTACACTTACCACTAACTGTTCATGACTTTAAGCCATTACTACACTTACCACAAGACTTTAAGCCATTGCTACAGTTACCACTAACTGTTCATGACTTCAAGCCATTGCTACAGTTACCACTAACTGTTCATGACTTTAAGCCTTTGCTACAGTTACCACTAACTGTTCATGACTTCAAGCCATTGCTACAGTTACCACTAACTGTTCATGACTTCAAGCCATTGCTACAGTTACCACTAACTGTTCATGACTTCAAGCCATTGCTACAGTTACCAATAACTTTTCATGACTTTAAGCCATTACTAACTGCCTATGACTGACAGTTGTTTGCGTTTACTGGCTGTAAACCCAGCGAAAAATCCGGGTTGTTCATCCATTTCTCAACATTGGCTTTGTTCCAGGACCTCAGTTTTGCATGTGCAACAGTTTTACAAATCTGGCTTACCTTTATGCAGACTGTTGGTTTCTTGCCTCTCAGGCAAATGCACTCTGACTTCAAGCAAACGCTCAATTAGTGGACTCCTATGACATGCTTGTTGGGGAGGCAGTGGGTCTGTTTTTTGTTTTTGTTTCCATACTGGGACCCTGGAACCCGCACAGGGAATGACTGACAGTATATCTTAACATTTGCAGTATCAGAAGGCGCCTGCAGAAGATGGGAGAAAAAATAACTACTCTGATAAATACTGAGCATACAGCTTTCAAAACAGTTGTGAAAGTGGCCCGTGGTGGAGCCAGATTTCAGTAGTATGATGTGGCCAAATGTAAAAAGCATAGAGAACACATGATATAATAGCTTGGTTGTTGTATGGTAAGAACCAATCACATAACAACTGACTAGTTATTTCAGATTTAAGTTGAAGCTGAACCTGTGTAACAATTCAATAGTCGCTTGGAGCATGTGTTGAGTCTGGTATTATGTAACGCCTCTCAAGTAGGACACGAGTTAAAAGTGACTCTAACATCTCATAATTAGTCTGAGTAACACGAGTTACAATTATTTAACCTTGCAAGTTGTTTTGGACACAAGTTAAAACTGTTAAAAGGCTTGTTTAAAACACGAGTTACAATTATTAACCTTGCACTGGTTCTAACATCTTATGGCTTGTTTAAAACACGAGTTACAATTATTTAACCTTGCAAGTTGTTTTTGGACACAAGTTAAAACTGGTTCTTATGTGTTAACATCTTATTTAACCTTGCAAGTTTTTTTGGACACAAGTTTGAACTGAGTTTAAAAACACGAGTTACAATTATTTAACCTTGCAAGTTGTTTTGGACACAAGTTAAAACTGGTTCTGTGTTAACATCTTATGGCTTGTTTAAAACACGAGTTACAATTATTTAACCTTGCAAGTTGTTTTGGACACAAGTTAAAACTGGTTCTGTGTTAACATCTTATGGCTTGTTTAAAACACGAGTTACAATTATTTAACCTTGCAAGTTGTTTTGGACACAAGTTAAAACTGGCAATATGCACACAAATTGTTTCGGACATGAGTTTAATAAACTGGTTTTATATAAAATCTCACGAGTTGGTTAAGTAAAAGTAAAAGACCCTGTTCCACACCTTTAGGCAAATAGGGCTAGACCTATATTGTATACACCAATCGGCACAAGATGGGGTGATGTGGTCAGCATCACGCCGGCCGCCTCTACTCCCCGGGACTGCACCCGGTACCCACTCAAGGCTGGGTTGCCCTGGGAGCCAAAGTCATTTTTGGAGAAAAGTCCGGGTCCGCCAGGAAGCAAACCCACAACCTTCCGATCTGCGGCGGGCGTCTAGCCGCTCTGCCACGGCAACTCCCGAGTTGGTTAAGGCGTAAGTTAAAACTTACTTTATGTAAACATTCATGAGATGTTTCAGACATAAACCAAACCTGATCATATGCAACAACTTACGAATAGGTTAAAACATCAGTTAAAACTGCCTCTGTGTAACATATCACGTGAGCTGTTTTCGACAGGAGTTAAAACTGATTTTATGTAATCTCTCACCAGTCATTTTCGACACGAGTTAAAACTCATAATATGAAACACTTCACACAGTTTGGGATATGAGATACAGCTGGTTCTATAAAACTTCTCATTATTTATTTAAGAATTAAAAATTCGACTTTTTGTAGCAAGTGATAATTTCTGTTCCAGCTCAAATAACAAGAACTTGTGGAACAAAACAATAAATTAGCAAATATCAGTGTCAGAGTACGAAACATGACATCATTTGTCACATCAAGTATGGCCAAGAATACATGCGGTGTCTGAGTCTGTATCGTCACCATCACTGTCCTCAATGTTATTACCATCAAGGATGCAGTCAGAATCACTGTCATCATCATCGTCATTATTATCATCGTCACTGACAGGCGTCTGTGATTTACTGCCGTCTTCTCTACCTGTCACACCAGGTGACTCAACTGAAAGACTTGTACTAGCATTCTCAGTGGCGTCCTTATCCCCTCCATTTTCTTCATTCAAATCGTCACTGTTTCTTTGTGGATCGCCTCCAATCCCATGAGAATTGATCACACACAAACTTGAAGATAAAGACCCAGGTATCCGTGTATTCATCGACGGATTAACATCCTGCTGGGTCAGTGCTTCTACAACATTTAAACGGGCGTGTTCGTCCCCAGCGAACCCCGAATTGTCAAAACCGCCATGCCAAGCTTCAATTTCGCTAGCTTCATCTTCCGAGTCGGTACAGTAAGACTCTGTAGTTGGAGAAGGGTCTCCTTCGGTGTAAGGTGGTGGTTGTGAGTTTGTTAAAGGAGCTGAGGAAGATGTGCTTTGTGGTGGTGAGCTATCCTCTAACACTTCTAGAAGCGCAGGTAGAGGGTCGATATCCACAAGCCGCCCCGTCTCTGTTGTCAGCTGGTGGAGCTGGTATCTTCTATTGCTCTGTGAATTACTTCTATGGCTTCTTTCTCTTTGAGGAGCCAAACTGGCAGTCTGGTCACTGGCAACGCTCGAAGCTTCTGGATGATCAGTATGGCCGAGCAGCTCCAAGTACGCCTCGTCAAAAGGGCGGGAAGTCAGCATGGCTTCGTGGTAAGGAGGTGGCGGGGCTCGGTGATGGAACATCTCTGCCAGCTGTCGACTCAAGGGAGTCTCGTGTTGAGGACCGCCGCGGTGCTGGTGGACTCGCATGTGGTACACTTTACAACACAGCCTGCGGCAATGACCAGGAGAAGGGCACACGACAGAGAGCCAACGATGGCGGCAACAATCACCCGTGGTGAGGACACTGTAGAAAGTAGTACAAAATGCAGCTGTTATTCTTTTATTTATGTGTAAATAACTTTAATTACAATTAAATTATGGTTTAATTACAAGCAATACACTTGAAATTAATGGAGCTTGTTGCAAACAATCTTTACATTTATCCCTCTTTTCAAATGTTTCTGAATGTCCACCCAAATTTCATTTAAAAAACAAGGGAACTCCACTAGCCAAGCTTCCTACTAAGCGACAGACTTTGGTTCAAATTTCTGTCAACAGTGAACCTTGCTTCAAATGTCTGTTGACAGTGTAGCTTGGTTCAAATGTCTGTCCATAGAGAACCTTGATTCACATGTCTGTTAACAGTGAACCTTGCTTCAAATTTCTGTTAACAGTGAACCTTGGTTCAAATGTCTGTCGTGGGTGAACACTGATTTAATTTTTGTTGACCGTGAACCTTAGTTCCCTGGTTTGTTGACAGTGAACCTTGATTCAAATGTTGGTTGACAGTGAACCTTGCTTCAAATGTCTGTTGACAGTGAACCTTGGTTCAAATGTTGGTTGACAGTGAACCTTGGTTCAAATGTTGGTCGACAGTGAACCTTGGTTCAAAGGTTGGTTGACAGTGAACCTTGGTTCAAATGTTGGTCGACAGTGAACCTTGCTTCAAATGTTGGTCGACAGTGAACCTTGCTTCAAATGTTGGTTGACAGTGAACCTTGGTTCAAAGGTTGGTCGACAGTGAACCTTGGTTCAAATGTTGGTCAACAATGAACCCTACTAAACAACAAATGAGATTCAAACATCTGTCTACGCACTGTCCTACTAGATGAGAGGTAAGGTTCAGATGTTTGACATGCAAAGGCACCACTTGATGGCACAAGAGATTCAAATATCCACACAGGCCAGATTAGTGTGCAGTGATGTACAAAAATGGGGAGCCATGCCTGAGGCATCCTCTAATCACCATCCATTTCACCCTTTTTGAAGGTGATCAGAGTGACGTTCTACAAAGGACTTGCTACATGATGATAACACATCCTCTAATCACCAACCATAACACCCTTTCTAAAGGTAATCATTCTACAAAGGACATGTTGATATAATAAAATGACGATGGATATAATAAGCCCTCCAATTCGACAAAGTGATGTACTTACAGAAGGAGCAGTCCTCTTCATCGCTGTTATCAAAGCAGTCATTCATTTTATCACAACGCCACTTCTCGTAAATACATCGCCCATTTTTGCACAGGAAGAGGCCCTTGTCCGGGGAACATCTAGCCTCATCTGAAAATATGATATGATACAAACTGATTGTTGAAGAACATCTTCTTCATTGTTTGTCTGAGTGATGTAGCTATGCTGTGCCTGTTTGCAACAAAGATACTCCAAGTGATGCTGGTGTGTTGGGAAATGAGCAGGCAGATAGACTGGCCGGCTCTGCATCCCTTGGTGGTGAACTGATGTAGGACAAGCTTGATATTGTGGGAGCCCTTTGGGAGGGAGTGAACAGTGCGGAGACGCAGCTAGATCAGTAAGGTCTGAGGAGAATGGGGCTGCGAGGAGTTACCAAGGGATATGGCCGACGCTGAACACTCAGGAAAAGGATGAGACGCACCTTTAATCAGACAGTTACTGGCGCCATCGGAATTGCAACTCTTCGTTTTCTGCTGAAGATGGGGACGGAGCGCTTATGGGAGTGCAATGAGTGCTGTGATGTCGATTCTTAATTCAACATTTAACTACATTCAGCAAAACTGCTATGTTTGCGCCTTTAGCCTACACATCTGACTTCTAGAGCATTCGCTCACCGAGTTAGCCTTCCCGGTTTCGTGGGACATGGCCCTATTTGTGTGGTGTTCCCTTTGTCCCTTTACCTACAGGTGTTGTCCCCAGAGAACCCATCCTTGGGAACTCCTTGAGTTTTATGAAATAAGCATTTACTGTGACTTTCATGAAATAAGCATTTACTGTGACTTTCATGAAATAAGCATTGACAGTAACCTATGAAATAACACTGGAATTTGACTCACAAATTAAGTTCTTGTGATTTTGACTGTGAAAGCATGTACCATGGCATTTACAAAATAATCCTATATTGTATCTTGGGTGTAATAATCCTATATTGTGATTTCCCTGCGATAATCCTATATTGTGTCTTCTCTGCAATAATCCTATATTGTCTCTTCCTGTAACAATCCTGTAAATTGTGACTTTTATTAAATAACCTCGTACTGTAAGTTTAATGAAATAACCTTGTACTGTGACTTTCATGAAATAACCCTGTACAAAGGACATGAAATAACCCTGCACTGCAGCTTTCATGAAATAACCTTGTACTGCAGCTTTCATGAAATAACCTTGTACTGCAGCTTTCATGAAATAACCTTGTACTGCAGCTTTCATGAAATAACCTTGTACTGCAGCTTTCATGAAATAACCTTGTACTGCAGCTTTCATGAAATAACCTTGTACTGCAGCTTTCATGAAATAACCTTGTACTGCAGCTTTCATGAAATAACCTTGTACTGCAGCTTTCATGAAATAACCTTGTACTGCAGCTTTCATGAAATAACCTTGTACTGCAGCTTTCATGAAATAACCTTGTACTGCAGCTTTCATGAAATAACCTTGTACTGCAGCTTTCATGAAATAACCCTGCTCTGCAGCTTTCATGAAATAACCTTGTTTTGTGACTTTTATAAAACGACGCTGCATTGTGGCTTCCATAAAATATCTCTAGACTGCAGCTTTCAAGAAATAATCCTGGGTGTGACCCATGAAATAACTAGTCTTGTGACTTTCAAGAGCAAATTTGTATAATGACTTTCATGAAATAACTAGTCTTGTGACTTTCAAGAGCAAATTTGTATAATGACTTTCATGAAATAACCCGGTAATGAGACTTTATTGTCAGAATCTTACACACTGTCTTCCATGAAGTTCTATAATGTGACTTGCGGGAGATAAGCACTAGATGATCAATGCAAAGTTACACTTACCACAGCCCAGCTCATCCATGTAGTTGGAACAGGTGCCCTTTCCATTGCATCTGTCACTTTCACTGTAACAGTTTGAACTCCTGAAGTCACAGCTGAAGTCTGTAGGGCATTCAACTGAAGACAAATAACTGACATCAGTATACAGAGGACAACAGACTCAAAAAAACGTAGTGACAACTGGCAAGATTGAGGGGAAAAGAGCAAGGGGAAGGCAAAAAGATAAATACTTGGACGGCTTGACTATTCTGAAAAGAAACGAGCCCAGAACTCCCAAACAGGCCCTAGAATAGGCAATAAAGAGATAGAGGAAGCGAGCACATCCAAAAGAAACCACAAAACAAATGATGAGAGAGGCCAAAGGTGCTGGACTGGATTCCATCCCTGATATCGAAGTGACGGCATAGGATAGAATGGAATGGAGGAATAGATAGTGAGCCCTATGTGACATATAATGGCACAACAGGACAATTATAATGATGATGATGATGGCTTGACCACTGAGATGAGGTGGGACAAGAACAGTTACCTGATCTGACAATTCTCGCTAGTAATTGTGTGGGATGGCCAATCTTGACCTCCAAGGCTTACTGTCACAGCACTTGATGACGACGATATTACAGAACATGGGTGGTTGTTTCAGCACAGTGGCTAGCATACCCACCTACTGGTCCTGTGTGCACAGGCTTGAATTCAAAACCAGGCAGATTTTTAACAATCAGCCTGTTATGTATGAACAAATTAATCCAGAACTGACATCACTGCACTCAGGACATTCCCACACATGCTCCATCTCCCTCCTCAGTAGCCAGCAAAGAGTCAAAATGCTAACAGTACCAGCTGAAACCTTTCCTTCATAAGTCTGCTCAAACACCCGCCCCCTTTTTTCTATTCTGAATTACTATTTCAGTGGAAGGATTTTCTGTCTGTTCAACTGCACTGTTAACCTGGATTTCCACGTCAACTGAGCCAAAAATAAATCATACCAGGAAAATGTCCTGAAAGGTAAAGGTGGCTGGTTGATAGCGTCTGCATCACCCAATGAAAGCTGTTCCGTCCATAAATCTATGGGGCTAGTACCCTGTGCCCAATGGCATGAAAAGGATTTAATTTCCGGGACAGACAATTTATATTTATTAAAAAACAAAAACAGAAAAAACAAAACAAAAAAACTTAAGGTTTTCAGACAGTGTTACAAGAGTCCTACCGTGGAAGAGACTGGGTCCTCACTGGGTAATATTCCCAAAGACAACAGCAGGCACACTTGTGAACCAACCTTCCTTGTGAAAGCTGCACATATCCCCCCCCCCCCCCTTGTTACTCAGATTTTCCAAGTCTTTCCTTTCTACCAATGTAGGTGCTTCTACTTCATCTTCTTTGAGCTCACCAGCTGTAAACTCTGGCGGAAAGTTCTGGTTGTTTGTAGACTTCTGGACTGCAGTCTTATTCCAAAACTTGAATTTTGCATGCATATCCATTCTACAGATCTCCCTTATAAATATGCAGACTGTTAGTTGCACATCTGTCAGGCAGAAATCATCATCAAGTGCCTTGCCAACTGGCGTGGGTGATCATGCCTCTCCATAATCTGCGATCTGCAGCTGTGTATATCAGTTCATGTGCTGACACCCCTCCATGCCATGACAAAAGACTGCCAAAAATCTTCTCACGCTGACTTCCTCTGTCTCTCTCTCCATAGATCTTCCCAGTTGTCACAACAAGTTCTATTTTCCCTCTTCACATAACATGACCCACAACGTCTTTCCTTTGCCTCTTTCTCTCTCTCTCTCTGGTGTTTGTGATGAGTTGTCTTCAAGCATTCCCCTCTTTCAAAACATCTGTGTTGCTCTGATTTCCGCCAGGCAGAAATACTCCAACTCAATGTAGGTCGATCTGCAACGTCCACTGAAACCGTTCAAAGCAGTTACTGCATAGACACACTTGTCCGTTTTTTGTTTTTTTGTCAAAGCTGGCAGGGGTTGCAACAGAGATGGTCTTATATTGAACCACCAGAAAAGATGTGGTTCCGTGAGAATCAATCAAGAGGAAGTAGCAGAAACACATCCTATGACATATAACAGCACCCCAGGACAGTGAATGAGTTGATGAAGGTGAACCTGACTTACCCACACAACCTCTCTCATCTCCTCCATGCAACGGGCAGTGCCACAAGCCATCACAGCGGTTCTCCTCCCTAACACAGCTGAACTCACCATAGCCACAAGCCTCATACCCCATAGGGCACTTCACTGTGGTCATAGGGAAAAAAAGAAGGTATAAAACAATCTATTTTCATAGGGAAATATATACATATAAAACAATCTATTGTCATATGTATATATATACATATATAACAGTCTACTGTCATATGGAAATATATACATATAAAACAGTCTATTGTCATAGGGAAATATATACATATAAAACAATCTATTGTCATAGGGAAATATATACATACAAAACAGTCTACTGTCATAGGAAAATATATACATATAAAACAATCTATTGTCATAGGGAAATATATACATACGAAACAGTCTATTGTCGTAGGGAAATATATACAGATTAAACAATCTATCATCATAGGGAAATACATACACACAAAACAATCTACCGTGACAGGGGAAAATACTTATGCAACAATCAATTGTCAAAGAGGAATACACATATATAGAACAATCTATTGTCACAGGGGAATATACATACGAGGCAATCTATTGTCCCAGTGGAATATACACATGAAACAATCTATTGTCATAGAGAAATATACACACAAAACAAACTACTGTCATAGAGAAAAATACATACAAATCCTGTGACAGGAAAATATACATAAAAACAATCTATTGTCACAGGGGAATATACATACAGGTCAATCTATTGTCACAGGAAAATATACAAATGAGACAATCTATTGTCACAGGAGAATAAATATATATATTAAACAATCTTTTGTCACAGGGGAATATACATATAATGCAATCTATTATCAAGAGGAATACACATATTAGACAATCTATTGTCACAGGGGAATATACATATGAGACAATCTATTGCCACAGGGGAATATACATACGGGACAATCTATTGTCAAGAGGAATATACATATGAGACAATGTATTGTCACATGAAACAATTGATTGTCACAGGGGAATATAATTATAAAAGAATCTATTGTCTCAGGGAAATATACATATAAAGGAACTTATTGTAATGGGGGGGGGGGGGTGTATACATATAACCAATCTATTGTTATAGGGAAATACATATGAAACATTCTACTGTCATAATGGGGGGGGGGGGGGGGGGGGGGAAATATAAATATGAAACAATCTATTGTCATAGGGGAAATGAGAGGGATTACATATGACAATTTGCACAGGAAATTTATGTATAAAGGGTATGTTAGTTAACTGCATTGATTCCACACTGACTGTGTACTTGGTATGTTGGTTAAATGTCCCTATTCTACACTGACTGTGTACATGGTATGTTGGTTAAGTGTCCCTATTCCACACTGACTGTGTACATGGTATGTTGGTTAAATGTCCCCATTCCACACTGACTGTGTACATGGTATGTTGGTTAACTGTCCTTATTTAACATTGACTGTGTACTTGGTATTCTGGTTAACGGTCCCTATTTAACACTGACTGTGTACATGGTATTCTGGTTAACTGTCCCTATTTAACACTGACTGTGTACATGGTATTCTGGTTAACTGTCCCTATTTAACACTGACTGTGTACATGGTATTCTGGTTAACTGACCCTATTTAACAGTGACTGTGTACATGGTATGTTGGTTAACTGTCCCTATTTAACAGTGACTGTGTACATGGTATTCTGGTTAACTGTCCCTATTTAACACTGACTGTGTACATGGTATTCTGGTTAACTGTCCCTATTTAACAGTGACTGTGTACACGGTATGTTGGTTAACTGTCCCTATTTAACACTGACTGTGTACACGGTATGTTGGTTAACTGTTCTATTCCACACTGACTGTGTACATGGTATGTTGGTTAACTTTCCCTATTTAACACTGACTGTGTACACGGTATTCTGGTTAACTGTCCCTATTTAACACTGACTGTGTACATGGTTTTCTTGTTAACTGTCCCTATTTAACACTGACTGTGTACATGGTTTTCTGGTTAACTGTCCCTATTTAACACTGACTGTGTACACAGTATGTTGGTTAACTGTCCCTATTCCACACTGACTGTGTACATGGTATGTTGGTTAAGTGTCCCTATTCCACACTGACTGTGTACATGGTATTCTGGTTAACTGTCCCTATTTAACATTGACTGTGTACTTGGTATTCTGGTTAACGGTCCCTATTTAACACTGACTGTATATTTGGTATTCTGGTTAACTGTCCCTATTTAACATTGACTGTGTACTTGGTATTCTGGTTAACGGTCCCTATTTAACACTGACTGTATATTTGGTATTCTGGTTAACGGCCCCTATTTTGGGACTGAGCCTCGAGAGGCAGGGGGTAAGAAGTGTTGGTGTTGTGGGTAGTGGGTTCCTCCCCTTACTTCACCCTAGGTCTAGTGAATATCTGTTCACGAAAGGAGCGTCCATTGTGGTGTCAGCCTCTTGACCTAGCAAAACCTCTCTTACCTCAAGACCATTGTGCGTGGCGAAGAGTCACAGCCTCCCCGAGGTAGTCCCGGTAACTGGGGGTGCGAATCCCCAGGCAAAACACAATGGATCTAGAGGAGCAAACCTCGATAATAAACCCGGTGCACCACACCGTACTGCCCCCTGTGGGAGGGAAGGAGCCAGAGGTGTGCTGAACAGTCTTAGGAATGGAAACAAGTATGCTAACCCCCCTGAATACCGGAAACTATCGTGAAGGCACAGGGACTCAGGACGTGACGATCCAGTTGCCCCAACTACTCATGCTTAGGCCATGCTTAGAGACATGAAGAGCTCAGCGAAACCTGCAGGCAATCTGGTGGCGGGGAATGAGCACACTGTGAGCCCCACCTTAGCTACTTGTTAAAGGGAAAGGCAGAAACACAACCCATATTTCCTTTAGAACTGGTACAGGGCATTTCTAGCTGCTGCCCGGGGAGGTAGGTAATCCACAGACACCCCAGTACCACAATGCCATGAATATGTCAAAATTTAAGAATACATACGAGATCGGTCGTCGCCTCGTCTATCAAGGCCCGCGCCAGACAGTGGGAAACCAGGCTGTCATGTGCGAAAAATTGGCTACTGGAAAATTTGAAATAAATAGGGAAAACAGACACCCCAGGAGGAGGAAGAGTGGGAGGGAGAGCAAAAAGAACTCAGACAGCACAGCAAAAAATACACAGATGCTCAATATTCTGCAGCTGAACATCTGTGGAATAAGAAATAAGAAACTTGAACTTGCCAAACTGCTAAACAACCACAGGGTACACGTGGCTGCCCTACAAGAAACCCTGCATAAAGACTCTGATCTGCATCTCACTGGATATACTAGTTATGCCTGTAAGTGCAATGACTGCCGGGGCATAGTGACCTATATCAGAAATGACATACAAGGAGATGTAACAATGCTGTCGATATCTCACCCTACAGATGTGCAAAAAATAACTATCTGGCACAATGGAAGCAAATACACGATATTCAACGTGTACAGCCCACCTCAGACAACATGCAACATACCAGAACTATACAAGACACAGTACCATAAAACCCTTCTTGTTGGTGACTTCAACGGACACTCGCCACGTTGGGGTTACCCTGACTACAATAGCACAGGGAAGTACATCGAAGATACTTGTGAAACAACTAACCTATTAGTGCTGCAGGACACAGAGTCTACACCTACACTGTTACACAGGGCCCACCTATCTCTCAGCAGACCAGACCTGACCATCTGCTCATCCGACTTAGCAGACGCAAGCTATCCCCAAGTCCTGGACGACATAGGAAGTGACCACAAACCTATACTCACAACTGTAAGCATCACCCCTAAATTACGCTTCAAGCAGAGAACCCGTTGGAATTTCCGAAAAGCAAACTGGAAACTATTTCAGGAAACATCTGACTGCCTCTTGGGAAGAATTGACAACAGCTGTGTGGAAACTTTTTGTGAAGACATAACACAAGCAATCCTGAATGCAGCGTCGAAAGCCATCCCAAGGGGCAGCCGGAAGGCATATAAACCTTTTTGGAATCAAGAAATTCAAAATACTATATCTGAAAGGAATAAAGCAAGAATATTTCTCGAAACTGCACGTTCAACAGAAGCAAAGATCCAATACAATAAAGCATGTGCCAGAGTAAAGCTTGTAGTTAATAAGGCTAAAAGAGATAAATGGACAGAAACTTGCTCCAACTTAGACCTTAGACAGAATGGAAATAAAGCATGGACTTTAGTTAAAAACCTCTCCGGAGAAAGTAGAAGGGTGAACCCAAAACCAGTGACAGATGGGAGTAAGACAATCACTGAAGACAAGAAGAAAGCAGAACATTTCAATCATTATTTTGCCTCGGTTAACAGAGCAGGTCAGCTGTCAGAACTCAATAGAACACAGCTCTCTCAGTTGAAGAAACGAGAGAGAGCTCCAACAGCCAGCGACTCCCTTTTTGAAAATGAATTTAGCATGGATGAATTAGAGCAAGCCCTGAAGAAATTAAAACCTAGAAAATCTCCAGGCCCAGATAAGATCCACAACGAAATGCTGCTACATCTTGGCCGGTCTGGGAGAGAAGTAGTTCTCAGGCTTATTAATAAAACTTGGAGGTCAAGCAAACTTCCAAGGGCATGGAGGAATGCATATATCGTCCCAATCCTTAAAACCAAAAAGCCCCCAGATGACCCCAAAAGCTACCGCCCGATATCCTTAACATCATGCTTGGGCAAAGTTGCAGAAAGAATGATAAACAGGCGCTTATATTGGTTCCTTGAGAGTTCTGGTGTTCTATGCCATGAACAGGCAGGCTTCAGAACCAACAGCTGCACAGAAGACCAACTGTTCAGACTGACACAAAGAATACATGATGGCTTCCAGAATAAGAAACACACAGTGGCAGTCTTTGTCGACCTCCAGCAGGCCTATGACAGAGTATGGAGAAAAGGTCTGCTGATGAAGATGATGAGCATAGGAATACATGGCAGATTGTATAACTGGGTGAAATACTTCCTGATAGATAGAACAATCCAGACTAAGATGCACAACGCAATCTCTTCTAAAGAAGTCTTGGAGGAGGGCTTGCCACAAGGCTCATCATTGAGCTGTACACTATTCCTAATCTTTATCAATGACCTGCCAGAACAAATCAAGGCCGAAAAAGCCTTGTACGCTGATGACCTAGCAATATGGCAGAGTCATGAAAATGTGGAAAGTGGAGCCCAAAGACTGAATGGAGACCTTAGAAGACTGCATGATTACTGCCAAAGATGGAAACTCAAGATTAACTGTGCAAAGACGGTCTACACAATCTTTACCAAAAGCCACCAAGTAGCAAGGAAGAATATTAACCTGAGGTTAGACAAACACCAAGTGATGAAAGAAGAGCATCCCACATACCTTGGAGTCACACTTGACCCGCAGCTCAGCCTCAAGAACCATATTGAAAACATCAGGAATAAGGCATTGAGGCGGTTACAGTTATTAAAGAGACTTGCAGGTACATCATGGGGATCAGACAAGGAAACTCTAAGGGGCTTATACCTAGGATATGTTCGCTCTGTGATAGAGTACAACAACTCACTGCTTACAACTTGTTCCAAAACTAACCTAGAGACTATTGACAGAGTACAAAATAATGCCCTCCGATTAATCTGCGGAGCTATGCAGTCTACACCAACTGCTGCATGTGAAATCCATACAAATGTGGACCCCTCGGGTTGCGGAGAGAAAAAGCCACTTTAGAAATTTATGAAAGATGCGTTAGGAAAAATCGTAACCATCCTAATAGACATCTTGTAGAAAACTGGGAATCCAAACAAAGAATAAAGCACAAATCGGTTTTACACTGTGTTAATGAAATTCAGGACAGATACCACCTCCCAGAAAGACGTCAAGGAATTCAGAATGTTGCAAAAAAACCTACCACCACATGCTCGCTTTAAAGCTCCAGAAGTCCAAACTAAATTGGTAGGCGAGGAAACCAAACAGTCCGACCCAATCGCTCTTATGAACTCATCACTAAAGACCGTTGATTCTTACCCCCAAGAATGGATACATGTCTATACTGATGGATCAGCATTTAAAGCTACCATTAAAGCAGGTTACGGAATCTACATAGGTTATCCCGATGGATCTGTTGAAGAGATTTTTGATGCATGCGGGGAATTCTGTTCAAACTATGAAGCTGAAATAATTGCACTGGAAAACAGCAGTATACCACCTAAAGACTGTAATGGATGTTTACCCCTCAAAGGTCCAAAATATTGTCATCTTCACAGATTCAATGTCTGCCCTTCAAGCTCTGGAGGGCAATGAACGCTGCAGAACTGACATAGCCAAGATAATCCTGGATGCCGATCAGCTTATTACCTCATACAACATCAGAATAGTGATGCAGTGGATTCCAGGTCACTCCGGCACACAGGTAATGACAGAGCTGACAGATTGGCAAAGAAAGGAGCAACACAAGAACAACCACCTACAGCGACAACCCCTCCAGACAGCAAAAAAACTGATAAGAGCTATAAACAAAGAGACTTGGTTGAACAGATGGGCCATGGGAGACACTGGAAGAGAGGTTTATAGACATATGTCTGGCCCTGATCCTAATGACAGCATTAACCATCTAACAAGAAGGGACCAGGCCACCATCTTCAGACTTAGAACGCAACATACTCCACTCAATGGACACCTAAACAGAATACAGCCACAACACTCCCCAGAGTGCCAGCTATGTAACTACCCCTACGAAACTGTTGAACACCATCTCTTTGAGTGCCCAAAACTCAGTGAGACAAGAAGAACGCTACTCCCTCCGAGACCAGACAAGTGGAACACCTTGTACGGAGGAAAAGAACAGCTTGTGAAAACATGCAAATTCCACTACATGGCATTGGGCCAAAGGGCGAAAGCTCATGCGCCGCTGGATCGATAACAACAACAACAACGGCCCCTATTTAACACTGACTGTGTACATGGTATTCTGGTTAACTGTCCCTATTTAACAGTGACTGTGTACACGGTATGTTGGTTAACTGTCCGTATTTTAGACTGACTGTATTCAGGGTATGTTGGTTAACTGTCCCTATTTCACATTGACTCTGTTCAGGGAATGTAGGTTAACTGTCCCTATTTCGCATTGACTCTGTTCAGGGAATGTAGGTTAACTGTCCCTATTTCGCATTGACTCTGTTCAGGGAATGTTGGTTAACTGTCCCTATTTCGCATTGACTCTGTTCAGGGAATGTAGGTTAACTGTCCCTATTTCGCATTGACTCTGTTCAGGGAATGTAGGTTAACTGTCCCTATTTCGCATTGACTCTGCTCAGGGAATGTTGGTTAACTGTCCCTATTTCGCATTGACTCTGTTCAGGGAATGTTGGTTAACTGTCCCTATTTCGCATTGACTCTGTTCAGGGAATGTTGGTTAACTGTCCCTATTTTAGACTGACTGTATTCAAGGTATGTTGGTTAACTGTCCCTATTTCGCATTGACTCTGTTCAGGGAATGTAGGTTAACTGTCCCAGTAGAAGAATTAAGTCTTTTTATTTATCTCCTCCCCAACAATCTAACAATGAATGAATCAATCAATCCATTTATAACCCTCCCCCCTTCCCCACCAGACTTTCGAGCCCTTGAGGTTCAGCGCTGCAGATATCGCCCACCTCCACTCATTACTTTTACGGGTCTTCTCTTTATCTAATATCTTTTCAAGACAACTCGTTTACGTACACAATTTTTGTCTCTGTTATCTGCCATTCTCTCCATATGCCATACACACTGCAAATTATCAGCCCCTACCCCCCCCCCCCCCAAGATGCCAGTCAGTGCCATTGATTTTAGCAGACTATGAACTGTGCTATTGCTTCTCATTCTTCATCATTTTCATCTGGCTGTCTAACATAAAATTTATTACACAGTATATGTAAACATAGGTCAATTTCTGCTTCCACACCCCAGCTAACCACACTTAACTATAGATCGACCCGCCATTGTCACACCCCTATCTCAACCAAACACACCCCAGTCCATCCACTTACACGCAGCAATCCCCCACCCACACAGTAACAACCCCCCCCCCCCCAGCCAACATCAATGCAGCCCCACCCCACTCACACCCTATCCCTCCCTACCCAGCCACAAACCCCCTCTCACACAGCCCCTTACCCACTCACACACTATCATAACCACACACTAACTCCCACCCACACACACCAACCCCCACTCACCAGCTGTATTATATCTGATAGTGAAGACATCCGACACCAGCACAGAACGCAGGCTGCCCCCCGGCTGGTAATACACAAAAACGCTGTCCTGCGATGACGTCAGAGTGAAAGGCGGCAGGGAAGAGGTGTAGGTCCCCAGCGCCGGAGCCGACATATTCCCACCATCGTACACCTTCAAGAAGCTGTGGTCCGACAGCCGGAACCTCTCAAAGGTCAGCGTGAAAACAACCTGATGCCCCTCAGTAGCCGCAGCCTGCAGCAGCCAAGTGCAGTAGCCAGTGCCACGCATGGGGCTGACCAAGTCGTCGCTCTTTATTTCCCCTGAGTGATCCGAGAGTTGAAAGACACAAGTGTCTGGGAATTTGTGTATGGGGTTTTTAGAGATGTTGGAGAAACTTGGGGAAGTGGATGTAGTTTCTGCCTGCACTGTTTTCACTGTAGATAATAGTTAAAACACAAAATAAGAAATGTTTTAACTGAAACAAAATAAAAATTTTTACTGCACTGACCATCCTTAAAAAAAGTGTCGTCTATGTATATATCTGCTTAAGTATTTTTTTTTTAAAGGCAAACATTCTTCTTCTTCTTCTTAAAGTCCATGCTGTGTGGCATTTGTAGTCATGGAATCCAAAACCTTCCGTCTCACGACTTTCAATCAGCTCTTACACAGATGATCCTCCATGCAATGATGTCAAACTGTTCAGCATCTTTTCTCTCGGTCTCCCTCCGCCTCTTCTCCCCTCCAACTTTCCTACCTACACAATGTAATCCAGTTTTATCCTTCCTTCTCATTACATGACCAAAAATTGCATACTGTCTCTTCTTGTGTGGATAATCAGTTCTCTTCGTGAGTCAGTTTCCTTCAAGACATTCTCATGTCTTCTGGTCTGTCCAGAGCATTCTCATGTCTTCTGGTCTGTCCAGAGCATTCTCATGTCTTCTGGTCTGTCCAGAGCATTCTCATGTCTTCTGGTCTGTCCAGAGCATTCTCATGTCTTCTGGTCTGTCCAGAGCATTCTCATGTCTTCTGGTCTGTCCAGAGCATTCTCATGTCTTCTGGTCTGTCCAGAGCATTCTCATGTCTTCTGGTCTGTCCAGAGCATTCTCATCAGTAGTCAATAAAACCATATTAACTGCAATTAACAAACGAGTGATGGCAGGCTGGCTAGATAACTATTCTCAATGGGTGGTCTATGGAACACATTAAGTTCTTTATTAACACTCTACACTAGATGACATCACAGGACAGTCCAACATTTCAGAGGGTGGCAAGACTTGGTTTCCTGGCTTTCTAATGCTTTTAATGACCCCAAAACATCTAGAACTGGCCCTAACCCCTACCCACATAGGTCCACCGAGAGAGTGCTGCCTAGGTCCCACGACTTCATCCAACCTTTTTACCACACCCTGAAATATTAGACTGTCCTATGACCTGTGGATTTCCCCTGTTTGGGATAGGTTATTAAAAAGCACCCACATTTATAAATCAGGAATATACAATTCTGGTTTTAATTTTTTAAATTTTTATTTTGGAAACATCTACATTGTTCATTATGATATGCCATGACAATTAAAGTAGGCAGTCAGAGTGTACAATGTATGTTATGGCAGGGCAGGGCCTTAGCCTTGGCTGGCCTAGGAGGTAAGCTCTGACAGGCGGACAGATAAGAGCACTGCTCTTCTGATTTGGCAGCTTTAGCAGCCTGCACTGCTCCAAACATACTGGTGTTATATTTTCTTTGGAGTAAACAAGGCAGGTCAAGTAGAGGGATCATGATGCATAGGCGACATACGGTATCTAAAATACTTCCCAGGCTCTGTGCTGTAGCTTGCCATCGCCATGGGCTGTGAATCCCATGCCTACTCATAACTCCATAAAACACTATCATCTGGAAAGACGGAGAGGTGCCAACAAGTCAGAGCCTCACACTCACCTAGTGGGTTCTGGGGCTAGAGAGTTGAGTTGTGTTGATTAAAGAATTGACATCACAGCACTACTCATGCTCCGTCCTCATCTTCAGCAGCCAGTGCAGAGCTCCAATACTGATGGTACCGGTCACAATCTGGTTAAATTTCTGTCTTGCCTTTCCTCTGAGTGTAGTGAGCCGGCCAGACCCTCTGGTTACATCCAGGTGCCTTATTCTCTCCAGGCCATAATAATCTTCTTTCCCTACTGATTCCGTTGCTTGTTCCCAAAGGGCCTTGATATCTGCCCTGTCATGTATCAATTTACCACCAAGTGGTTTGATCAAGCCAATCTGTCTGCCTGTTCATGACCTACCACGCCAGCATTGCCTAAAGAAAAGATCCAAAGTGTTCTCACAACCCGTGACTGGGGCTAGAGAATAAGCACAATATCATACAAGGTGACTTATTCATATGCAGACTGTTGGTTCTATTCCTCCCTAACAAGCATATCATACATGGTGACTAATTCACATGCAGAACGTTGGTTCTATGCCTCCCTAACAAGTATATCATACATGGTGACTTATTCACATGCAGACTGTTGGTTCTATGCCTCCCTAACAAGCATATCATACATGGTGACTTATTCACATGCAGACTGTTGGTTCTATGCCTCCCTAACAACCCTAACAAGCATATCATATTAGGTGACTTATTCATGTGCAGACTGTTGGTTCTATGCCTCCATAACAAGGATATCATACATGGTGACTTATTAGAGATGTTTCCTTCTGAGAGGCTTAGAACCAACAGTCTGCACATGAATAAGCCAGATCTGTGAAAATAGATGAGCACACAAAACCCAAGCACTGGAACGAGACCAACGTCAACCAGAAATTTCTGCCGAAGTTTACAGCTCATCCGCGCTAAGAAGAAGGAAAAAAGAAAATTAATGCTTTAAAAAGAAATCAAAAACAAAACACACACAAAAACTTACCCATAACAAACTGTATTCTGAAGCTCGGCAACCAATCCGCACCTAGGCGCAGGTACTCAATGTAAAACCCATGCTGTGTCGACACCAGATAGCTGGGGCAAGGGTTGTTGAAATACCTCAGCAGGCTGTCCGTATTTCTGTAACCATCGTAGATCTTCAGCTTGTCCTGGTAGGGCAAATAGCAATGCTCAAAGATCAGCTTGTAGTTGACCTCCGCCTGGCTGGGGCCAGGGTCGTACAGCAGCCAGCTGGCCTTGCCAGTTTTCTTCAGGCAGGCGAAGACTGTGCTGTTGGTGACAATCTCCCCGACCTCGGAGGTGAACACAAAATGGCAGTTCATGAGGCTGTGCAGGTCGCTCCAGGGGTATACGTATGCTGTGGTGTTTCTGGCCGGGCTGGGGGTGCTGGCTGCAGTCGTCGTCGTGGTGATGCCTAAAGTGTTGCCTAAAGCGTCAGTAAAATATCAGCAAATTAATTTGACGAATATTTGAAAACATCGAATAATTTAAGATCAGGCGATCAGATAATGGCAGATTCAACTTTATGGCAAATGGGCCTCCTCACAGTTATTCCATTCCTGTGCCAATGAAAACCACACAGAATATCCATCACTGTCCCCTGCTAAGATAATGTACACAGTGCAATCGGGGTCAAGCCAATGGTATACACTAATTAGGTGTTTGTTGAAACTGGATGTGTTGGGCTGAAAGAACATATATTGCAGCCTAGATGGAAACTATAGTGCGACTTGCCAACTGCGCCTTTAGAGGCAAACATTGAAAGAAGATGGTGCTATGCCGGGTACATCCTGAGGGCAAGCGGGCAGAGAATTAGCAAAGAGGCCATGAAAGGGGAAACATATGGAGCAAACAAAATGTTGAATGTTAAATTAGGAATCAACATCACAGCAGTCAGGACACTCCCATAAGTGCTCCATACCCATCTTCAGCAGCAAGCAAAGATTTCCCATTCCGATGGCACCAGTAACTGTCTGATTTTATATCCGTCTCATCCTTTCCCTGAGTGTTAAGCGTCAGCCATATCCCCTGGTAACTCCTTGCAGCGCCATTCTCCTCAGACCGTAATGATCCATCTGCGTCCCCTCACTGTTCACTCGTTCCCACAATATCTAGCTTGTCATAAATAAATTCACCACCAAGTGGTGCAGAGCTGGCCAGTCTATCTGCCTGCTCATTTCCAAACACACCGGCATAGCCTGAAAAAAATATCCAAAGAATGCTAACTACCTGGGACCTCTGAAGTCATGTTTGCCAATCTGCACGAAGCATGCCTGACTTCACCTTTCTCAGCATGCTCTGTGAGTCAGTTACAATCACGGCATGTGCGTACATGTGATTCTCAAGCCAGCGGAAGGCAGCAGAGACTGCCTCCGCCTCGATTCTTAAACTAGACAAGATATCGTATGCAAGGTTTTGAGCAAACAAATGCCTTGAAAAATAAACCTATGATGAACACCAATGAGAGAGTGCTAAATACATCCTAAAATGTGATTAGAAAGCCTAACATGGAAAATGGAAAAGATGCACACAGATACAACCAAATGTTTCAGCCAAACTTTTCATCAATACACTACTAAATACAACACAAACTGAGACAGGAAAACTCAGCGGAGAAGACAACAGAACTTGTAAACAAATACAGTCAACAAGAAAATAAGAAATACATAAAAAGAAACAAAAAATATCAATGAAAGAGGGCAGATGTGCTGAACAGGATTCTACCCAGGATACTGATAAAGTATTGCAGAGTAGAACGGAATGGCTGACTAGACTGTGAGTCTTATCTGATCTATACTGACACAATACGATACTGATGATGATGTTGATGATGACAATGTTAACAATGATGATGATACTGTTGATGATGATAATGATGTTGACAATGATGATGTTGACAATGATGACGATGATGATACTGTTGATGATTACAATGATGATGCTGTTGATGACGATGTTGACAATGATGATGATGATGTTGACAATGATGATGATGATGACAATGTTGAAAATGATGATGATGATGATGTTGACAATGATGACACTGTTATGATGACAATGATGATGCTGTTGATGATGTTGACAATGATGATGATGACAATGTTGACAATGATGATGCTGTTGATGATGATAATGTTGATGAAGATGATGATGATGATGCTGTTGATGAGATGGAGGCAATGATGATGATGATGATGACAACAATGTTGATGGCAATGATGATAAAGCTGTTGATGATAATGATTATGACAATGATGTTACTGTTGATGATAATGATAATGACACTTGATGAAAATGATGACGATGATGCCAATGCTGCTGCTCATCACGATTATGTTGGTGATGCTGTTGATGAAGAAGATGATGACTATGGTGATGATTATGACAATGACGATGATGCTGTTGATGATGACAATGGTGATGCTGCTGCCGATGACAATGATGACACTGTTGATGTTGAGGACAATGATGATGAACCTGTTGATGATAATGATTATGAGAATGATGATGCTGTTGATGATGACACTTTTGACGACAATGATGACATTGCTGCTGCTGATGATGATGACAAGGATGATGCTGATGACGATGCTGAATCATTACTTACTGAACTGATAGTAGAGTTTGAAACCCCTGCCTTTAGTTCCAACGGTGGTGCTGTTGAATACCACAAACAGCAAGTACTGTAGGTTAGTCAGCTGGGCTTCGTAAGGTTCTACGTTTCTGTCAATGTTCCCACAGTAACTGTGCTCATTGATGGGGCCAATCATGAGGAAATCGTTGCTACAGGTGCCCAAATAGCTGGGTATATCCACATCTAGAAGTCTGAACAAAGCAAAGAAAATCATGGATTATCATCACCAATACCACCACTTTCATCACCCCCACAAACATCTCTCTGCTTCTTTCTTCCCTCACATTTGCTGTTTCTGATTACATGCTCCAGTTTTCTCCATCTCATGATGTGATCAAAGAATGTAGCTAGTGGCATCTAATCAGCTACGGCTTCCAGTCAATATGGAGGGTAAGCAGGTTTACTGGTTTTAGTTGTAACTTTTTTTGCTTCTGATGTTAGTTAGCTGTTGCATTTTCCTCCATATGTAGGCTGAAAGAATACAGTTCTGTCGCCCAACTACTGCCCTGAGAGCCTAACACAACACTGTGAGTTGCAGATTTCATTTGGAATTTTATTTTACTGTGCCCAACGTGGTTTGTGTTGTGAACTGCAGATTCAGACAATGGCAAGCAGCCTGTTGCCAGAGAACTGGTGGTGACTTATATGATTAACTGCATGTGCACACTACTGATCTGTTGCAACTTCTGCTTGTCACAGCCACAGGAACAGAGAAACGATAGTGTGACCCATTTGCTATGAAGCTGAATCTCTAATTTTCTGATTACACAAAATGGTAACGTTACATTTTTCTCACTTTCAGTGGAAAGCTTTTTAGTACATTTCATCTAACTTTGCTGATGTCATCCCTGCCATGAAGTTAGAACTGTGATTCCTTGTGTGGGTTCCGGGCCCCATTGTGGGGGGGAAAACAAGAATAGACCCACTGCCTCCACAACAAGCATGTAGTAGGAGTCAACTAACTGGGGGTTTCCTTCGAAGCTGGAGTGCATCTGCCTGAGAGGCAAGAGACCAACAGTCCGCATGCAAACATCAGATCTGTTTAACAGATGTGCACACAAAACTCAGGTTCTGGAACAAGTCTAAAGTCCAGAGGTGGACAAACAACCTAAACTTACCGCCAATGAAAGCAAAGAAGAAGAAGAAACACCCTCACCATCCCTCTCTGCATCAGTCTCTCTCTCTAGACTGTGATGATCAATTTTCTGTTCCAGATTTTCATGTGCTCCCATAAGGTCTTAACTTTGCCTACCTTTTGATGCAACAATATTTCACCAAGTTGTGCAGAGCCACCCAATCTGTCCATCTGTTCATTGCCCAACACACCGGCATCTCCCTGAGAAAAGATCCAGAGAATTGCTTGATATAGCCGACAGAATGATTGGCACCTTTCCGTCTTTTCAGATGACAGTGTTATACTGAGCTATGAGGAGGCATGGGACTCACAGCCCATGGTGATGGTGAGTGTGACTAGCAAGACCCGTCCGTTTTAAGAAAAGTCTTCCACAATTATAGCATGGGATTTCAGGATCATTATTGTTAACATTTGTGTTTAGTGTATTTCTTCTCAGACGCTCAGCTCTCATACTTTCTGCAATCATTTCTTCCTTCGTTCTCATTCCCTTCCTGATGTGCTCCCTCCACACAACACTATCCATGGCATTTTGTTCCTATGAGTCCACCTCAGTACATCTATCATTCATGTCCCATTTGCACTCATCTTCAAATCATAGTAGAGGTCAGCCTCCAGATCTTCTACCTGTCTCTAATTCATCACAGAGGATGTCCTTAGGGACTCTGCCATCCTCCATTCTCCCGGAGTGACCCAGCAAATTCAGACAGTAAACATTGCAGCTCCTCCTCTGAGTGGGTGGTAATTGCTGCACCATCTGCAGACAGCAGCTCTCTGATAAGTACCTTTCTTATCCTGGTTTTGACCTTCAGCATCCAAGCAAAGTAAAGGTTTCAAAAAAAGGGAGCAGCATATTCCGAAGAGGGTGAAGGCCACGGGATTACCTGATCTAACCTGATCTAACCAGCTAAAGAGAAAACACCAGAAACAACTCTAGTACACTTCAGGCACCTGATGCTGATGTGAGTCCCTGGCCTGCCATAGTAGACCCACATGAAACACAGTCCGGAGGGGTACAGCTCGGGGTAAGCAGGGCTCATGATGAAGCCATCATTCTGAGACGAAGGTCTGAGCAGCTGGTATTCACAGGCTGGGAAAATATTCAAGATAAACAAGTAAAAACGTGAGAACAAACAAACTTTATTTACAAAGGGTGAAATGAAAATATGTGTCAAGACATGAGAACTAACAAACTTTATTTACAAAGTGTCAAATAAATGTACAAACAAACAAACAAACTTTATCTTTAAAGGGTTACAAATTGGGCATGCATGCCTGTCATATATTTGGCCCTTCCAAGCACCCATCCTTCAGATCATCATTGCATGTTATGTCTACTTAAAAATATACACAATGAAACAATGCATACACACATCATATATACAAAATCATACACATGAAAAAAAAATTCACATGTACACATACACACACATACACACACCCACTCACAAGTAGGGATCACCGTTAAAGGTCAGGGGAAACCTAATTTTAAATAATTGTAGATCTTAATTTCTCATTGGTTGATATAGGAAAACCTGAGATAAAAAAGGTCATGGCCATGCGCTAAAAACTGACAATAACAGCAACAGACAGCTACACATGAATTACATGAAGGGGTGAACAACTAATGTTTAAGTGAACAAATCTTAAGAAACACAGTATAAGTGAAGGAAATAGCGACGCAGGCGTAGATGGAAATGAAAGAGCTGATAAGTTGGCTGGATTCGCTATCACTACCGACGGTCAGGTTATGGATCATGCTAATATTATAAATGCCCTCAGAGAAATGGGAACTATAGAGGACTCTGAGGGCAGTGAATCCACATCACTCGCCAGAATGGCAGACTTTGAAATGAAGATCAGCATAGCAAAAAATAAGACGCATACCAGACACACCAGAAGACTTGTTAATCAACATAGAACTGGTACTATTAGCCATCGGACGTTGGGGTTCATACTGAGGGGAGGATCTGAGCACCTATGGACATGTCCGGAGTGCAATGAGGATAACCCAACTAACTAACTAACTTACTAACTAACATGTTAAGTTCACCATAACCACTTAGTATGTATAATAAGTTAGATGTTGTAAAGGTCCTTTGGGAACAGGTGAACAGTGAGGAGGCACAGATAGATTTTTAGTCAGAAGAGAAGGGCATTGTGATCTGGATGTTGCTCAACACTCAAGGGAAAGGCCAGACGGATGTACGATCAGACAGTTACTGGCACCATCAAAACTGGAACTCTTTAACTGCTGTGGAATATGGGGACAGAGTGCTTATGGGAGTGCTATGATGTCTATTCGTAATTCAACAAAAGAATCATTAAATCAATCAGGAAACCACCAGCCCCAGCACAAGACAACTATTTTATTATGGACAGACCATAACAAGTCATTATCCTCCGCCTCAGAACAGGGCACAACTGATTACGTAACCACATGTACACAAAATTCAAAATAGGCATATCAGCCATGTGCTCCTGGGAAAAGGTGCCCCAGACAGCAGAGCATTTACTCCAGGACTGCACCGAATTTGACACATTAAGGCAAACCTTTTGGCCAGAGAGCAACAGTGGAATGTAAACTCTATGGACCACTTGAATGAACTAACAACAGTGAAATTTATATAAGAGACAAAAATTGCTGATATAGACAACTTATTTCAGGCGAACGAAAGAAGAAGAAGAAGACAGATCTGGCCTATTTGTATACAGAATGTTGGTTACTGGCCTCAGGCAGACGCAATGTTACTTGAAGGAAAAACCTCTAATAAAGTGACTTTTACAACATAATTGTGGGGGAGGGGCAGTGGGTTTACTCTTAATCCCCAACAATGGGGCCTCAGAACCCAAAAGGGGAATAATGATAACTTACACATAAACACACAAAGATATCAGATACACACACACATACATACAGGATATCTATGAGACCTTACATAACCTGCAATCTACTGCTCTTGCACCACATTATTACAAGCAGACAACATATATTACCATAAAGAAATATGGAGTACTTACATTTTGTATAGACAGAAGGCAGTGTCATCATTATAACAAGACACAGAACACTGCCACTGGACTCTGGAAGAAAGAAATGCAGTAATTGAATGTTAGTAACAGTTTAATTATTTATATAAGTATAAGACACTAAACGAGAGTGAGAGAGAGAGCGAGAGAGAAAAAGAGTGAGAGAGAGAGAGAGAAAGAGCGAGAGAGAGAGAGAAATAGCGAGAGAGAGCGAGAGAAAGAGAGAGACCTGCACTAAATAAAAGAAAACCCATAACCTGAAACTGAAAGAGTAATCTGCTTAATATGCACAAGCTTTTTATCTGATATAGTGGCACGCAACATGTGCAGTTCGGGTACCTATATGGGGCATATCTTTTAAATTAAGTCAAGAATTGACATCACAACACTCGGGGCATTCCCATGAGTGCTCCATCCTCATCTTCAGCAGCCAGTGCAGAGTTCCAGTACTGATGGAGCTGGTCACAATCTGGTTATATGTCCATCTTGCCTTTCCTCTGAGTGTAGTGAGCCAGCCAGACTCTCTGGTTACATCCAGGTGCCTCATTCTCTCCAGACCATAAAAGCATATCCTTTAAAGTGTTTTTGTAATGCACGCTTTGTGGCATGTACCAGCACATTTTTAAAGCACTCTGTGATAAGCACTGACATGTTTTTAGGACACTTTGTGGTGAGTACGGGCACCTTCTAAAAGAACTTTGTTGTGAGTATCAGCAACTTTTTATCTAGAAAAAAAAATATGCATTGTAAAAAAATTGCATCTGCAAATATTTTGTTATACACTGATCAAGCTCCTCATCATCATCATGTAGCACATCCTGTGCAGTGCATCACTCTCCTGCTGTTCGCTTGAATTAAACTTAAGTCTCTCACCAGCTCCCTGCCTTGTGGAGTTACTTATACCCTGTGGCCATCTTTGTGTTGGCTGGCTCCTGCGGATCCTTCCTGGACCATACCTTCTGCTATTATTTTTTGTTTGTTTTTGGCTTAAATTTTTCAGCTTTTAGGACAAGATGCTGTTTCCTAGCCAACCTTCCTCGATGTTCAGATATTTTAGAATGTCAGTTTTTCTTTTCTTCTTGGTTCATGGTATTTTTGAGAATCTTTCTTTAGTGTTTCAGTTCAAAAGCCCCTATTTTCTTCCCTAAGAATTGGGAGATAGTCTACGACTCACATCAGTATGTTGCTACAGGGAAGATTCATGCTCTGAAAATTTAAACATTGATCTCCTTGCTCCTGCTAACCCTAGGACATTTAATGTACTTACTATATTTCTCAGTTAGTAACTTTAGTTTCATACTACTGATCTAGTTGTTTTTTTTTCTTTGGAAATACATTTTGGTACTTTATTAATATCCTACCCCCAGATGACGTCACAAGATAGTACAACATTTTAGACGGTGGTAAGACTGGGTTTCCCGGCTTTCTGATGCTTTTAACGACCCCAAAACATCTAGAACTGGCCCTAACCCCAACCCACCTATGTCCCACAAGAGACTGCAGCTAGGTCCCACGACTGCATGCAGCCTATCAACCCCCCCCCCCCCTTTGCAATATTAGACTGTCCCGTGACCTGTGGATGTTTCCTGTTTGGGGTAGGATATTAATAAAGCACCAAATTTTTGTAAAACTGAAACAAACAACAGTACGGCAATTTATTTCTTGTGTAGCTGTGGGACGCCCCAATTTAAAGGTCTCAGAGTTGAGGACTGAATGGGGTATCTAGGATTTGGCACTGCTAATTTGCATCCAAAAAGTGATTTCTTGAAACAGTATGTCAGAGTCCAGGATATGTAAGCATGCAAGGGGGATATACAGAACCCCCCCCCCCCCCTCCCTTTTTACTAAAACAAAACGCCCACAAGTCTCAGCCAAACCCACTCCAAAAAAATATACTTAGCATAACTTTTTTTTAAAACCCCTAGATAGCGTACTTTAACCTATCCTAATCTATAGCATTATTATTATTATCAACACTTAACAATAACAACTGCTTAGAATTAACAGAGAAAATTTAAAGTAAATTTGGTGGTTACTTTCTGTCATTATTTATTAATTCATTCTGTTCTACGACTGGACTAGAGGTCTCACTACTGGCAACACATTTCATTAACAGATTCTAAAGAGAGTGTCCACAGACGCGTCATGGATATTTGCTCACCCATTACTGTTCTTCTCATAATTCTGAGATTAGATGTAATCCGCTAAGAATCCATCTATGATCGATTGAGAGGTGTCGCAAGTATTGTTGCAACAGTAAATTCACTTTCTCTATCTGCCTGCTCCAACAACAGACACCCGTCCGTCCCGTCTGCTGGCTGACGGTAGTGCCAGGTTTTCTACCTGTTCGTTGTTCGTTTCATTGGCAATTATTAATTTATTTTTTCCTTTCAGGATTGCAGTCTGTTGAATTATTTAGCATTTCAGGGATGAGAATCAAACATGTTCAAATCCAGGAAGCCTTTTCAACCATATAACCGTAAAGCACTGTTATATTGAAGCACTACGAAACGGTCAGAAATAACCTGCAATCCAGTGTGGGTGGGGCTTTTGGGATGTTGTCTTTATAAATAATCTCCTCTTTGGTTGCTGTAGTAATTAAATCAAAAATATCATGTTCAATCCATCTAGGTTACATTTGGGATGCATTTCTCCATATTATTCACTGGCTGTGAACTTCGGCCGAATAGTTTAATTGTTGGTCCACTTCTGGACTTAAATTTTGGTCCAGAACTTGAGTTTTGCGTGCACACCTAACATCCCTAATTAGTATTCTTTAACGATTTACATTGTTAGGGAAGCTGGGGGTCCAGTGCAGAGTTCAAATTCTCATAGTAAAGGTAGCAGTCTGATTGTATGTGCCTCTTGCCTTTCCTCTGAGATTTGAGTGTCGGTCAGATTCTATCACTTCACGCTGTACAGCTTGTAACGATCTCTTGATGCTTCTTCTTTGTTCACTCGTTCATAAATCCCTCGATAACAACTAGTGTGCCATTCATTATTTTAACACCAGATGATGCAGAACCAGCCATTCCGACTGCCTGTTCCTTTCCAGACACGCTTGTATGCCTGGAGAAAATATCCAAAGAACGCTCCACTGATCAGTGTGTCTTATCTGGTTGTTTAAGGTTCCCCAAACTAACCAGAGATTGACTAATCTTACTCTGGACGACAGACTTACAAGGCAGAAAGCAGATACCTAGTTTTCACAACCCCCCACTCCCACCCCGCCCCAGTGGAGAGGCGTCACCGCTCACGCGAGTCGACAAAACACTTGATGCTGATGAGACAATTGGCCAAGGAGGATGAGGTGAAAGTTCATTGAAAGGGGAGGCTACTGCTAAAAATGATATTATCTATAGCAGTTACACTACTTCTGATCACCCGTTGCAGTCGACAACTTCACGAACATCCTTAGTGCTTCCTAAATCGTTGTGTACTTTTTTGGAAGTCATTTATACTGCAAGCATAACTTGTGAATACATGAGAACATAATTGTAAGTTGTCCAGTAAAGCCTAGTCGAAGTCTA